TTGGTACGTAGTTTTGTTTCTTGTTTTCATTCAGCATGTATCTAATCTTGCAAATGATTACTGGTCAGTTCGATTCAAGTCAGATGTTCCAATAATCTCTTCTTTTTGCAAAGATGATTGATTTTATATAGGAAGTCTGATGAAGAAGAGTCGGGAGAGGTGGTTTAAAAAAAGCATACCAATCCGGCATTTAATCTCCTCTTCTGGAGCTACACACACTATAATGTCATTCGCATACAGGCCTGTTAGGCAGCTCATCAGTGCGACTAGGCAACAGAATACTTCAAGCCAAGACCGAAACCCGACCAATTTGGTATCAGTCGGAGTTTTTACCCCTAAGCCATCAGCGCTTCGGCAGAGTGAAAGACGATTTCTAGCGTATTGTTTTTATGAACGTAAACAATCCCCAGACAGCCAGAATTATCTATTCATTAATGGAGAGAGATGCGTAAGCGCTGACCTATTATCCATTTCAATTTTTTTTCATTATTTAACATCTTTATCTTTCTATCGGAGCTTTTTCATACCTATTTATGACTATTTCACACTCACTTACTCGCTTACCCACTAAGTTATAAAGTTATCGCTGAGTTCTCAGGTTTATAGGAGAGCTTATAAGGAGCGTGTGTAGAGTGTGGTCGTCTCAACACACCGTAAATGTTCCATCATTGACCAGAGTTTGTGTAGCAGTTTCGGGGCAAAGACTTCATTACTCAAGTCTAACAACCACCATATTCTACACAACTCACATCTTGTGCCTTTTTCTTCTTCATAAGTCAAATCCCACTTAAAAGGAACACTATTTCAAGATGTCGAGGAAATCCAAGAGAATATGATGTTACAGTTTTTTGTGTATATATACATGTAACTAGTGAGTTAGTCAAAATGACTTAACTCCCTTTATAGTCTACCAATAGAAGGTTAACCAATCAGAAGCCGCAGAACATTGTATCCGTCGTGTATAAAGGCGGCCATTTTTTGTTTCTCCTACCCGAATGACCAGTGCCAACTTGTCAGTCGAAGATGACAGAAGGAAGTACTACGCTCTGCTACGATATCCACTGCTAACCTGAACTACGCTTTCCTACTATCTCCGAAATATCCACTGCTAACCTCTGGATTCTATACTCGAAGACGACCGTCAAAATGTCTAACATACGATGAATCAGCTGCTTGCTTTACCCCAAAAATGAAGTTCCAGGAATGCTTTCAGCAATGTAAACCATGCTGAATAGAGTGTGTAGCTCGAGAAGAGGACTACTTTGAAGAAGATTAAAAGAGGAAAGTGTGTCGAGCAGAGATTCCATCAGTGACCTTTTCTTATCTATCTATCTATCTATCTATCTATCTATCTATCTATCTCTTTTTTCTTCAGTTCTTATTAATGAAAAAATGTTGCAAAATTTTTTTTTTTTTAAGCGTTTCACCCCAAGCAAGGCGGGAAGCCCCTAGGACGCAAGGGGTTACAGAAAATTTGGAGCAAGGTGAGATAGGAGTGATAGAAGAAAGGATGAGGAGAAGGGTAGTGGATAGATCAAAGCAACTGGAGATACGCTAATAATTGGTTGTATATTATTTTTTATGCTATAAGTAACAAAGATTTCTTTGAAATCAGATTACTTTAACTTTATTTTTTTTAATTTTACTAAAATAACGTGTCAGAATTTTTTTTAAATATTTTAAAAATCGATAAATTTGTGTTTGTTTACAAATTTCTTAAAATTAAGAAAATGGCCGTTTTTAAGAAAATTTAAAAATTTGAAATTAAATTTGACAATCAGATGTATATAGTTTCTATCTGAAATACACCAGAATTGTTTAATTAATAGAAATCGTAAATATAATTATTAAACTTTCAATTAAATCTATGAAATATATTTGGAGATTTATGATGAAATTTTTCGCTAGAAATTACAATTCTGCCTTGCCTGACAAAATTCATTATATAAAAATCCCCAAGAATAAATTCTCGTCTAACTTAACTACCAAATATATAAAATAGCTGGTCTTAACTCAAGGAGAGAGATGACGCGTTTTGTCGAAGTTCCAAAAAAAAAAACGGATTTTAAGTTATTTCTTCTTTTATTATAGATAATTATTATTATACAGTGTAACCCGGATGTAAGAGAGTTGTCGGGACCAGAGAAGAAGTCTCTTATATCCGGGTTTCTCTTATATCCGGGTTTGGTCTATTTTATATACATTAACACAGGCTCTAATTTGGGACCAGAGAAAATCTCTCTTATATCCGGGTTTCTCTTATATCCGGGTCTCTTATATGCGGGTTACACTGTACTTATTTGAAGTTACATACGTGTAGTTTATTATTATTTCTTTAAACATTTCTACAATAAGCGGGTTTTTTTTCTGTATTAATATTTATTTTAGTACAACTAAACTGAAGATCTTATTTTTACTTTCTGCTTTTGAAGATATATTATTTTATATTTGTTACTTTATATTTTTTACTTTATTTTATATTTTTTATATTTTTTCTTTATATTTTTTACTTTATTTTATATTTTTTATATTTCTTACTTTATATTTTTACTACTTTTTTTTTTTTATATTTTTTCTTTTTTTTTTTTACTTTATTTTATATTTTTTCTCATTTTTTTTTACTTTATTTTATTTTTTTATATTTTTTTTTTTATATTTTTTACTTTATTTTATATTTTTATATTTTCTTCATAATTTTTTACTTTATTTTATATTTTTTACTTTATATGTTTTTACTTTATTTTATTTTTTTTATATTTTTTCTTTATATTTTTGCTTTATTTTATATTTTTTTACTTTCTGCTTTTGAAGATATATTATTTTATATATTTTTTTATTTATATCTTACTTTTACTTTCTGCTTTTGAAGATATATTAATCAATGTTTACTTTCTGCTTCTAAAGATATATTAATCAATTTTTGCCCACTAGTCTCTCTTTAGGTGTTGCTACTGTCAAAATATATATATATATATATATATATATATATATGGCGATATGCACCACATTTATTTAACTTTGATTAGGAATGACGTGAAAAGGACAAGCAAACATCTAGCGGTCACAATGCAATTTATATTTGACGTAAAATAGCACATAGTTTAAAACACAAGACACAACGTAATGGTTCAAAACATAACAATTGAATTTATTAATTTTGGTGTACATGCATATAAGCTGAAGGTTTGATAGAGTTAAGTCACTTAGATTTGGAAATATTTGTACCGGAGCTCGCAAAGTTGAAGTAATTATTAAACTGAAGTTTTATAAGAATAAGGTTCCTGTTGCATGTTACGAAAAGTTGGTAGAGTTAAGAGTTCGTACTTACGT